GAGATTCTAAGTGGGCAAAAAGACGAGAGGAGCAGCACGGAGATGAAGTGACTTATCCAAGGTCACAGGGCACGTCAGTGGCAGCACTGCAGTCAAAACTCGCATCTCCTGACTCCCAAGCCAAGAATCACCCAGCCAACACAAGCATGAGCCACAAGATGTAGCTGAAATTCAGGCTATATGAATCCAGGGCTCTTTGGGCTACTCTAACTCTTCTTCTCTGCTGCTTTAGCGTCAAAAGCAAGCTATGATCAGTGACTTGTAACAATCAAATAACCTTGCTTTGGTGTGTCTGCAGCCATCACCCACACAACTTAACTTTGCAATTCTCCTCCCCAAGCTTCTACTCAGCCTGGACCGTTTGATGCCTGCTGCCTTTGCGAAGCTTTTGAAATTAATGCTTTGAAGGCTGTAAGAGCAGCTCAGAGGAAAAAAAAAATGTCAGTTTTGCATTTTTAAAAAGATGCTCTTATTCTCCTCACAGCTGAGTTTTGGCAGCAGCTCATGAGCAGAATAGTAAGTGGGAGTTTTTGTTGTGTTTTCCCAGGCCAGTTTGTCTGGGCTGTGGAGAGCCACACTTCTCGTTTGTTCTTCACTGCAGTTAGGCCACAGGAATTCACCTGCTCAGCGGAGGCTGCCCCTGTGCGCGTGTGGCCCAGGGAGCGAGGATACGCAGCCCTCAGCCATTCGAGCCGGAGCGTGCCATTTCCCCCATCTTTGGGGGCAGAGAAGGCCCTGTATTTCTCCAGCTCCCTACTCCCCTTCTCTAGTGCTTTGCCAGTCAAGTGTCTCTATACACGTCTATACAACATGCCAGTACAAATACTTCTATCTGCGAGCTGAACAGACTTCCTGCAGATCTGCTAGCCGTCCCGTAGGGAAGAATTTAGTCTACACCAACAAAAACAGCTCATACTAACCGATTTCAGAAAGAATCCTCCCAGAACTGTCGAAGTGGTGACGTGCATCTCAAAGGACTAATCCAGCTCTCTGGAGAGCAAAATCAGCTCTCAGTCATGCAGCCAGGAACCCAGCGCAAGTCTGAATTAACGCAACAGCCAGTTAGTTTGAAGTTTCAAGCCTTGGTCGCACAGACTGCAAAGACACCAGAAATCAGATGAAATTTCTCCTGTAAGTGAACAAAAAGTTGTCCCAAGAGCAGTGAAATAACTGATACTTGAATGGTCAAGGTTTGTGCTGTCTCTCAGTTCCCATCGTAATAATTTCCACTGTTCTTCCTATCTCCTACAACAGCCCTACAATATCAAATACCAAAATTAAAGATATCAATATATCCCCAACATGTCCCCTACGCCTCTCCCTTGTCCCCAAAATGTCCTAGTTCTCCCACCTCTAAACCCCCCGCTGCAGCACTCCCTTAGCCTTCCACAGCCCCTACGCAGCCCCCTGGGCAGCTGGCGAGGCAAAAGGCACCATGTACCGTAGCTGGCCTGATAATACCTGTGTGTTAACTGGGGCAGTCCACACACACGCGCTGTCTGGTCAACTGGATGAACTCTTTTGCCAGAACAAGACAGTAATTTGAGGGTCTCTCCTCTGTTTGATCATCAATTTTCACAAAACCTGTTAGAAATACATAAATATTAATAGTTATGATAAATGTACGATACCTTTGAGGCCCCTCTTTGCCAAATTGGGCTGAAGTGTCCAAGAGATTAAAACTGTGCCGAGAGAACTTGCAGAAAGACAGATGGATAGGAAGACAGGATGATCACATAAGCTTTTTTTCTTTAGGAAAACATGCTAAAAAGAAAAAAAAAAACAATTCCAAAATGCATAGTTTGTACTTACAAATTATTATCAGATTTAATTAAAATCTGTTTTCAGATCCAAGTTCTTTACTTTGTACCAGGATAAAACAACACAAAAAAGGCAGTAATTTTATCAATTAATTTTGAAGAAAAGATTGGCAGAAGATGTGCTGTTGTGTATAAACGTGAAAAATCCTACTGAACTTTTTTTTAATATTATTTTTCTTCAATAGTTTTCAGAAAGATTTAAACTTTCCTCATCTTTGCATTCCAAGAAGCTGAATGAGAACTTCACGGTGGAGCTACCCGCCGAGTGTGTTTTGTAGTTTGTGCTGCTTCACCAAATTGGGAGAAAAAACCCCCCAAAACCTAGTATCATGCATTATATGCTAAAAAATCTTGAAGGGAGATGAAGACGACTGTTGTTAAGGGCATTTGACTTTCATTGTCTTTAGAGGGAGATAAAAAAGAAAGTAAGATTACCTTGGGAAAAAATACATACAAAACCAGTCAGATTGTAAAGCCTCCAATAAAACACTACTCTTGGCAAGTTTCACTGAGGGGGGGGGGGGGGGGGGGGGCTGTCAGTAATGTGTATTTTTTTTTTAACATTTACAAATTATTTTTGACTTAGCCACGCAGGGAGCCTACTTTCAACCCTCAATTTGAAAATCATGGAGGCTTTATAAAGTCTTCCACCTGCATCTCTTTTTTACATCACAGTTCTTTATCCTCTAAAGGATGAAAACCCTGGCCTATAAAAACTTTGTTAAGCTGTCACTATCAATAGAGTAAAAAAAAATAATGGTTGACAAAGAAGAAACAAATTGCATCTTCGAATAAGTTTCCTTCATGCTCTTGTTAAAAGCTATAACCTCTGATGTTAACTAAATTTAACCCATTCTGACCCTTGCGGTGGCCCTTAACCTTTTCTTTATTCTGCTTCCTGTGGTTGCTGAAGAAAACTGGCCCAGTCATTGGAAAAGCGCTCTCTGTTGCACACAAAGCCCCAGCCTCGCTGCTAGTCTGTCAGGAGGGATAGAATAGACGGGGAGGTCAGCACCTGTGCTGAGAAGCAGGTGACAGGGAACTGCTTGGACCATTCTAGGGCAAGTTGTAATAGTTTCTACCCTTTAAATATCACACTGTAGTTTCGGGTATTCAAGGCAGCGAAGTTCACGTTTTCTTTGTGAATGCAGACTTTAAACAAATTAATCTATTGCTGTTCAACTGACTGTAAAATTAGTAGATTTACTGTTGCAAAAAAAAAAGAAAAAAAAAAAAAGGAGAGCTTTCACTTCCACTTTAATAAGGTCACGGATGTGTCCTAGGCTGCCAACAAAAGCAGCTTTTAAAATCTTCGCAGCTGAACCCAGCAACTTGCAAAGGCTGCAGAACAATGTCTTAGATGTACAGTGGAAACTCCTCTCCCTACAGTCAAGATGTAAAACTAGACAGTTGAAAAACTTTCTACGCTGGGAAGTTTTAACTTTAATTGTGCCTCGCCCCAGGGACCCACGGGCTTGCTTTATGATTAAAATTTTAATAAATTCAGTCAGCCTCGCTTTTCAGGGAGCAAAATCAGTTCTTTGCCTGGATTCGGTAAAACAGCCCAAGCAATTTAACGGCAGAGCATGCATCTTCAAAAGATTTGGTTTAATTCCTATAACAGGGGCAGATCTCAGAAACCAAACAAAACTTTAGCTGTTTCAGCTGTATTCATATATTCTATGCAGGGCGTCAGTTAGCAGTGACTGTTTACCACTCAAGAGAATTTTTGGGTTTGCTTCAATTTTTTGCTGTCCCTTGCTAGAATAAAATAGAGAAGTGTGTGTAGGAAGCAACTTTCAAAAGCTGGGGATGGAAAAGGAGGAAATGAGCTACTGCAGAATCCAGGAATCTGGACCAACAACATCCCCAGAATTTCTGTGTCCTTTAAATATGCGTTTATTCTGACGTGTTCTCTGCCATACGGCAATGCTCAGCTCAGCCCAAGGGAGTTTTTCATCTGAGTTATGTGCAAAAGTCTTTTATAAATGCTAACGGGAAAAGGAATACTAAGGAGCGCGTACTCTCTGAACCAGGGTACTGCAGAACCACACAGCCATGGTTATAACTAGCAGGAAGGTGGAGGCGAGCCATGCCAGCTGCTGCTGAAGAGCAGGGCTGGGGAAGCGAAAGAGACTCTCTCCAAGTCTTCCCCAAAGTTTCCCCACTGAAACGCCCTGCGAAGGAATGAATTATACAGAAAAACAGGAAAACAGAGGTGCACAGGGTAAGTGGCCCTCCAGATGCTCAGTACTTTTGCAAGCATGAGCGTGCAGGAGACTAATCACAGATTTAGTAATGAGACTGAAAAAAACTGCTGTCCCACCCACTGCTGCTGGTCCATGACCAAAAGCCCCAGGCATTACATAAACCCAACAATATCAGTAAAAAATTCCCGATGATCTTGTTTGGCACTTGAAATTTTTTGGACCAGATATTGAGAACTACAGCTCCAGTTTAGAAAGCAGCAGGATGTTCCCCGCGGACCAAAGTTAAGACCCGTCCTCCACCCAGAGCCAGCAGGTACGAGCTCCTTGCAGGTGTAAGGCACTTCAGCAGTTTGCTTCCTCCTCCCACAAAATGAATGACGGAGTTTGAATGAAAGTCAACTTGAGCCTTGGGTGTCCAGGTGAGCACTTCGTCACCCAGCTAAGGGCATTCTCGCTCTCTGCTGGGCATTACAAGCAGCTTACTGTACCCAGAACACATAGCTTCAGGGGGAGATTGACCCCAAAACACAGAAGGACTGGAACCAGTTTCCAACACCCTCAGGGGACAGTCAAACTGTCCCCCACAGACCAGTTGTGAATGTGGAGGAAGCTTCCCAGTAGCATCTTGAGTCTCGCATCAGTCAGTAACATTAATAACATCCACACCGGCAGATCACTACACTGTTCATGTATGAGGGTGAGAAATCTCTCCATCCACCATCCTTTCTCCTCATATATTTGCATTTTAAATTCTCTGGGGCATGAATTATCTACGGTTTGGCACAAGGTCTAGCAGAACAGGCCTTGATTTGGCACAAAAAATGATAAAGTCAAAACAACAACTTTGCTAACCAGCTTGGGAAACTAAATGTCAAATAGAAAAAAAGACAGATGCAGATTTAGGAATTAAAAAACAAATAAATGACTGAGAGTATTGTCAGGGGTGGACAGAGGATGATGTGCATCAGGCAAAATAGAAGGGAGGAAGTTATTAACTGCGTTTATTATGATAGCATCTTTCAGATAATTAAGACTGCAGTCCCACCGTGACAGGCACATATAAAAACACGACCCCTGGACAATTACAGTGTAAACAGACATGAGACAAAGGACAAGGAGAAAGAGTACAATGAACCCCCAGAAAGATCAAGTTGATTGAGGATAAACAGCATGAGAAGGCTGCACTGTTTCTTGGCACACTAAATTTAATTAGAAAGGCATGAAGTAAAACAAACATCAGGTTTAAACTTAACAGAATTAAATAAAGGGAAGAGAGAAGGAATGCAAGTTGTATGCTCCAAAGTACCTTGCTTTCATGCAGGTAGTTTTTATCACAGTGAAGAGGATTATTAGCTTTATTGCTCCTGCTAACGTTGCTGAAAATTATCTGCCTTATGGGGATGGTTGCCAGAAAGGCAACAGTAGCTAACTGCAAGCTGGGCCGCTGACACGCTCTCCTCTAATGCGTATTGCAGAGCTGAGGATAGAAAAAAAAAAACCACAAACTCTCTCCAGGCTTCAGCTCTACCAAAACTTCCCTTCATGGTTATTCAAATTCCACACTTGATTTCCAGACCGTGAAAAGAGCAGTAAAAACCATTTTTGTCTCGCCTTTTCTTATTGTGGAATATTTCGCTCTCCACAACTGGATACTGTAGAATTTCAATAATTTATGTCTCAAGAGCATCAAACGGAGATCCGGTTTTCTCAGGCACGCTAACTGATATAATAAATGGCAATCCCTGTTCCCAAGGAGCTTACAACTGTAAAAAGCATAAAGCCTGAGTGAAATCAAGAAATGAACAGAAGAGCAGGATGGAAAGAACAGGCGCTATTTGCACAGAGTAGGTGAAGCTACAGTTGTCAGCCAGGCTGTTGACACAGCTCACCATCTACTCAGCTCATTCCGTTAATGGCATTTTTCCATACTCATTACTGCAGGCAAGAAGTTTTAATGAGAATAAGGTGCTATGAATGAATTTGAGATTGTGAACCGATTTAGTAAAGTGTTCTGGTTTCGCACAGAATTACCGTACGACGTCTTCTGCGAAGATAGAGAGCACAAAGCAATGACGGACTTCTTTGCATGCGTGTACCAAAAAGACTGTACCAAAACAACCAGAATGTGGAATTAAACCATTCTAGGGCCACAGTTAAGAACAGGAAGCTTTCAAACTAAAAGGATGAAGCTCAGACTTTCATTGCATCTCTTTTTCCTGGGCAGGAAGGGGGAGAGAGGAAAGAGGGGGTCACTTAGGCGTGGCCCAAAGCAAACAAGCTAAAAAGTCCTGATCTTTCTAAGCAGGAAGGACAGCGGACGGGGCCTCCCCCCCAGCTGCCTCCAACGGCTTCCTTCTGCACCAAATTCTGCAGACAGGCACACCTTCCGCCCGAGCGTGGCTCTGGGCTCCAGCCCGGCTGGCCACAGCGCGCCCCTCAATACGCACAAACACCGCAGCTCCCGAAATGACGCTCTCCGCAGAGACGCTGCCCCACCAGAACAACAGGAGAACCGCACACTCTCGGTTTTTTAATGGGTTTTACTCATTTAGCGGTTTACTTGCAGCTGGGGACCCAGGGTTTGTACATGAATTTCAGCTTCCCTTTCCAAGGCAGCGCTGTCGACCTCCGGGTTGGAAGAAGGCGCCTGAAAACCTAAGGCAGAGCGGCCTGCTGGAGAAGGCCCCCGACACCCGACGAGCCTTCAGGCCGCCCCACACCGCGCCGCAAACGCACGCGCGACT